TTAGTTTAAAATAGCATAGCTATAAATAGATTCCACGTTTATTATAAATGTAAATTCTATAGTATAAAATAAAGTTGCGACATAATCGTCAAAAAAAAAAAATAAAATAAAAATAAAGAGTATATATATATATATAAATATATATACCTTTTTAACAATTATAAAATATAAAAGGTCCAAATGAGGACGATTATATTTATAAAGATGATTTATCTTCAAAAATCTCCAATGCGATTCAACTACTATGGTTGTGCGCAAAATACCAATTTCTTCAAATGAAAATTGTACCCAAAGAATCCATTGATTTGGAGAATACCACTCACACCAAAGATAGCTTCATACTAATATTAAATCATTATTCTGACAATACTGATATATTTCAGTAACACACTCAAGCCAAATTATATGTTGATTGTTTACAAATGTTTTATCTTCTTTGGAAATTAGCATGTGATGATTAAAATATTTTGTTATAAGGTTTTTTATATATATTCGAACCTCCTTATTAGCAAGTTGAAAGCTTGTTTTTGATTTATTCATATTATCTTGAAATGTTTTACCAAATATTGATAAAGTTGGCTGCTATAGAGAGTCAATAACTGTACATTGCTTGTGTGCTTCAGTTGCATTATACCATATTATTTGAATTTTAGCTCGTGATGATAATTTTTGCTCTACTGCACAATTAACATACTACAAATATAACTGCACCTTAAGATTAGTCCATGTTGCCCTTGCTGCATTTATTTGTAATTGATCTTTGTCAGTATAAAAAATTCGCATATTTGTTAAATTCTGTGTCTTTAGTACTATAAACTATTCTGTAATAATCTTAGTAATATTGCAATTTTTGCCTAGTAAAATAAATAGATAAGAAATAGAAAATCCTGCTTCATCTACAATTGTCATTGCCCTATATAACTCATATTTATATTTATTAGTGTTATATGTAGCATCTACTATGAGCTCCATTAATGCATTTAACGGTAATATATCAAGAAGATAGTTAAAAAAGCAAAAGTATAATTTTCAAAAAAAAGAATTTTTTGCTTTTGCTTTTGAAGAAAGATTTTTGCAGAAACAAGTTCATTATCAGAATATCAATAATTAGCTTGTACCATAGATGACCACTAATAATATACTTGCTTAATTGTTAAAAGCTCATATCCATTTATATGATTGTCTTTAATTGACTGATAAATACTTGGTACATCTTGTCCAATACAGGAACTTATATGATTTTTAATATCTTCTGTTATATTGATTTTTTTTAATTATGAATGTAAGATCTTATATAATATATTAACTGTTACAATATCTTTTAGATAAATTTTAACTGTAATTATACCTTTGTATTCATAATGTTTAATATGTGCTTTAATATTACATTGCTTCGAAACATCTTCAATCTTTTTTTGACATCTGCATAGTTCATTTCAAGCATTACACCAGTATATTAACTTTGTAAATTTTGAATGTTTGCTATTATATATATTCTGATATATATATATATATCCGTCTCTATTACTAATTGCATTAATTACTAAATCAGCAATATCAATATATGGATTATCTTGTTTAGTAACAGTAACTTTAGCTAATGAAATATATTCATAAATAGAATTTAGATCAATGTTAAATTGAAGCTAAAAATAGAACTGTCCTTTGAGATCATCATTCAGGTTTTTATATTCTAAAAGTGTATTATAAATATAATCTGCAATATTGTTAAAATTAATAATTTTTTTTTTTTAATATTAAAAGGTGAGGCCTTGCTTATATCTTTATTAAGTAATTTATATAAGTAATTATAAAGAAACAAAACTGAATGAAAACTTAATTCATATATAAATGAATAAATATAAATTATATACAAAAATAAAAGCTCAGACTTATTTATCTGTGATCTAAACCTACTAGAGTGGTCAAAGCTCACCTAGATTTGAATGGTTAATATATAATTAGTGGAAATACTGAACTGGATCCACAAAGTGGACCAGATATTAAATTTAAATTTAGCAAGCCCAGCTAGGGAGCAAGAAAAGAAATCAGAATGTAGTTGATCAGATAAGTTGTATGGACAATTATATGTAAAAGTGTTGCGAGTTCTAGTATAAAGATGAGTGGGAAATCATTGACTAACTTGAATAGAAGTAAAATTGGATGATATTTGGTATGCTTTTTTCCAAGTAAAAAAGTTAATACAGTATGATTTCTATATTTGTTTGTAGATTTGGTTAGAAATTTTGATAAAAATTTTGATAATTAGCTGCAAAGCTATTGAATAAGATATGTCAAATAGTACTATGCATTAAATAAGCAGAGAAGGAATAAGATCTTTAAGAGTAGAATGAAGAGAGTATGGATAGAGAGTAGAAGGATAAAGAGAGAAGGAAGGGTGGAATAAAATTGTATATATCAAGTAATTAAGTTTGTGAAAAGCCAGATCAAGATTGGCATTCAAAATAGTTTCTGAAATAGAGAATTAATAATTTGGGATAAGAGATTATAGTGAGAACAGAGATACCAATGAGAAGAAGAATCAGGAGATTGCATTGAAAGCAGTTAGAAGATGAAAATAAGTTAGATGAAATAGAATGAAAATGAAAATGTATAGGTAGACTATTAAGTAACATTTTAATTTTAAAGGATTTAAGGTGACTAAGTTTAGGATTAGTGAAATTGTGTAAATATTTATAATTATTGTTGAAGTAAAGCTATGTAGAATTCCAGTCAATAAGGTTGAAAAAGTGTGACTATTCATCAGTACGTCTTTGGAAGAACCACATAGAAATAGTATTAGCATTGCAGATATTTATAATGAAGCATCTAGAAGGGCTATCAATCGAGAAATTTTTCCATTGAAAGAAGAAAAAAAGATTATATATATTAGAATAGTTAAACAATAGGATTGGGGAAGAAGTATGATTATTAGCAAGGTAATCAGCTAGGTTATTGAAAGTATCATCACTGTGGCTTGAACTTTATAAAAGATTAAGTCAATATTATATGCTTTGATTGAGTTAATAAGAAAGAGTATGCCAGATTGGCATTAAAATTAATAATATTTTTCTTTTCATCTATTAAAATATTAGTTTCTTGCCACTTTCGCTTCTTAGCTTGTGAAGTATTAATACAGCAAGCTATGCAACAATTTAAAATATCATTTTTACTAGCAATGAATTCTTCAAGTAGTTGAATACAATTATACTTAGTACAACATTATAAAGAACTTGTGTTTTCTATTTTTTTATTATTGTAATTTCTTTATTGTTAATAACAATAAAAAATAGTAAAATAGTAATAGAATTAAACAATGGTATTGTGTATAAAATTCTTTATTGTTAATAACAATAAAAATAGTAAAATAGTAATAGAAATAAACAATGGTATTGTATATATACAGTCAAACCTCTCTAAGTACACTTTCTATAAGTACACACCCTCTCTAAATGCATACTCAAGTGCCGGCCCAAATATATACTTAACCTCCATAAATGCACTTTTTCTTATTATTCTTTATATGCATATTATTAAGGTATGGCCCCAAGGGTGTGCACTTAGAGAGGTCTGACTGTATAATGCAAAATTAATATATAGTGATAGTGTACATAGTAGTCTCCGAGGTCATGTAAAGATTGAAAGATCACTTGACTGTGCTATCAATTGTTAGTAACGCTGGATTTGCTAATTTTATCTATTACTTATTGAAAAATAGCAGGTGCATTAGTTAAGCCAAAAGGCATAACATTGAATTCAAATAGTCTATATTTAGTAATAAAAGCAGTTTTTTTACGGTCCTCTGGCTTTATTTCTACTTGCCAATATCCACTAGCCAAGTCAAAAGTAGAAAACCATTTGGCACCTTTAAGAGTATCCAAAATTTTATCAATCTGTGACAAAGGATAAACATCATGTTTGGTAATTTTATTAAGCTTCCTGTAATCAATACAAAGCCTTAGTTTACTATTTTTCTTTTTAACCAAAACAACAAAAGAAGACTATGGACTAAAAGAAGGAGATATAAGTTCATTTTTCAACATAGAATTAAGTTCCTGTTAAATGAATTCATATTCAGCTAGAAACATATGATAGGCTTTTTGGTAAATAGGTGGTATATTTTTGGCAATAATTTGGTATTAATCCACAGTTGTTTTTCTCAAATCATTTATTCCTTTAGAAAACATATAGTCATTATCTACTAAAAATTGCTGTAGTTGTAGATTATCTACTGAAGAAGAAGAATTAGTTTCTTCCAAGTCTTCTTTGTTTACAAAACAATTTATTGCTTTCTCCACTTGTATACATTTAGAACAATTTTTTTGTAACTGATCACAATAACATTTTTCCTTTTGGTGATTATTTGTTATTATTTGTGAATAAAAATTGTAACTATTAAAAGATATTTTATTTGGGTATTGTTAATTTTAAATATAGGTTTTCTATCAGAATTTCCTATAGCTAAAAATCCTTTAGATTCCTCTTGCTTATCATCAGATAATTCATATTTATCTTCACTAATTTCATCAGAATTAGTTTTAAAAGCTGAAATTTAATTAATTAAGTCATTAGACTTATTAGAATTATTTAAAGAAATAGGCTCACTATTATTATATTGTGGCTTTTCCCAACAGGTAATAGGTAAACTATAAGATTTGTTTTTCTAAATAAATTTAAATTGTCCATGTTTTAGATCAATTATGTTTTAAACTTTACTAAGCCAATCCAACTAGCAATTACAGTATAACCTTGAACATTATTTACTTCCATATCAATAGAAATAATAGTATCAGATATTTGAAGGGATATATTATTAATAATCCCTAATGATTATTTTTTTCTATCATTAATATCAGAGAAATATATTTTAGAAGGTTTTTCAATAAATCTATTAAGTTTGTTAGCAAAAGCTTTTAACATTATACTTGTAAGTGATCCAGTATCCAAAATTAAATAGAAAGAGATATTATCAATACTGGCATTGCAATAAACTATATCCATAGCTTTCTTTGGTTTGGGGTTTATCTTAGTAGAAATTAGTAAGGGTGTTAATTTCAACTGACTTTGATTTATATTATTATTGTTAGAATTGTTCTTTAAAATATGTATTTGTTTATTAGATATATTAGAGATATTTAATAAATTGCTAGGATTATTTAAAATAGAAAATAATATATAAGAAGAAGAATTACAAGCACTACTGCTTTCACAGCATGCTTTTAGAAGTTTAAAGACTGTACTGATATTTGAATAAGACCTTGCAAATCTTTAACAGAAAGAGTATAATAAGTAGGACTAGTATTGAAATTATTTGAAGTAGAAGAATTTTGTTATTGTTGTTAAAATTTATTCTTTTGCTGTTGATTATAATTATTATTAGGGAAATTCTATTTTCACCAGATTATTTTAACCTGAAAATTAAGAAATTGCTAGTCTTATTTTGCACCCCTACATGTTGTTGATCTACAAGAAAAGATGAATTTTTTTTGGTGTGATATTGAAAAAGGCCCAAGGTTATACAAAATTTATAAAAACCTTATTTTGCACCTCTATATGTTGTTGATCTTCAAAAAGAGAGGAGTTTTTTTTAGCATGATATTAAAATGGCCCAATATTACACAAAATTTATAAATTTAAAATATTTTGGTCTCTTAGAGTTAGGGTTAGTGTTATTGTTAAGATTAGTGTTAGGCTATTGTTAGGGTTAGTTAGAGTTAGTATCCTTATTAGAGTTAGAGTTGTGAGTTTTTTATTATAAATTTTGTACAACCATGGATCTTTTTTTAATATTACATTAAAAAACATAAATTTTGTATAATTTTGGGCCTTTTTCAATGTCGTACTAAAAAAACTTATCTCTTTTTGTAGATCAACAACATGTAGAAGTACAAAATAAGACTAAAAATCTAAAAATAGAAATTGGGCCATATAATAGAATATTTTGGAATTTTTTACTAGCAATTTTTTATTTTCCGAGTTAAAATAACCTGGGTGAAAATAGACATTCTCTTATTATTATTATGATTATTATTATTGGTTTGGTTATTATTTCGGTTATTTCCTCTATTTCAATTATTATTATTATTATTATTATTATTTTAATTATAAGAGTGTAGCACCCATACTTAAACTTTATTTAATACTTAAATGATTAACATATGATAGTGCCGATACATATACATATTACATGAAGTACTAAGACTAGGACATCAAGTATACAAACTATTTATAGCTAAAACCCACCAGAGCCGACCATATCCCCACTAAACAGCTAATCTAGATTTATATATCCCTCTCCAACTGCCAATCAGTATTCACATGTTTGCCACATTACCTACAAACCATTTATCTTCAACTCCCAAATTGGTGTATACTAGGTAGGTGCTTATTGCTTCCGGTTTGGTGTACCAGTTATTTCGATTATTATTATTACTACTTTGATTATTATTATTATTATTATTTCTCTAGTAACAATCATGAGCAATATAACTCTTTTTGCTACAAATTTGACAACCAACTTTATTTTGTTGTGAAAAATTATTATTTTTATTATCTCTATTATTATTGTTTTGAGAAAAGTTGGGTTTAGATTAAGATAGTTGTTGTTTGAAATAATTTAAAATAGTCTGAGCAGCTTGTGAAACTTCATTATTAGCCTGGCTATTTATAGAAGCATTGTTAATAGAATTATATGAAGAGCTAGAATAATAATTAAATTATCTTCTATTTAAAAAATATGCCCCAAGAAGCATTCCTTGAGAAAAAGTAGCTTCTGCAGCTTTAGTATGAATTAAGACCTGTACCAAAGTAGTAAGACAAGAAATTTCAACTAGCTTCTGAATTTCATTCCTCAATCTATTAATAAATTGTCATAATTTATTCTCTACTAGATATCAATTATTAGAATCAACCTTTCAATATAGATACTCTAATTCAGCATAATAATTTCAACAGGTTTACCTAGTTGTTAGATTCGTAACCTTAGATTAGCTAGTCATTGGGTTTTTTAATGAGGAGTACAAAATTGATATTTGAACAGATGAGTAAATGAGTTAGCTGGCCTTACATCATTATTCCAAAACTGTATTTGAGTGTGTATAGCCCTTCATTAAGATTGTGCTGAGCTTTTTAAATAGACAGAAACAACAACTAACATTCAAGCTTCCTGAATATTATTAACAGTGTATAAGGTTTTAAACTCATTTAACTAGTATAAAAGATCCTGTTTCTTTCCTTTAAAAACAAGTATTGGAACAAGAAATTATTCCTTTACAGGTGATAGATCTTTTTTCAAAGCATTCACTAAACGGTTAAAATAATAAAAAACTTGTTATAGTTTAGAATTTGCAGATATAGAATCCTCGGGAAATTTGCCAAAATCTAAAGAAAGTATATTGTCCTTATTATTAGGCTGGGATGAGCTGCCAGGTTGGATATTTACTATGGCTTGAGTAACTAGAGGATGATTAGAAATAAGTTGTGTTTGAAATGGTATTGTAGAATATTGTATTGTTGATAATTGTAGGTAGAGAGTTGAAGTAAATTGAATACCAGTTCCTAAACCCTGGTTATTTGAAAAGTTATGATTATAGTTGTTAAAAAAGCTAGTTGGATTATTATTAATATATAGTATATTATTATCATTGAACTCCAAATTATAGCATATGGGCTAATTTATAGAATTGGCAATAACTTTTTATTTAGTAGCCTGTTTTGGATAATTTTACTGCCAAAATGTTCAGCTCATTGAAGGGATTCTAACAAGACCAAAATCATTAAAATCCAATCACAGGATCCCAAGTTATTGTCAATTAAGCAAAATTTTAAACAATAACCCTAATTATCTGACCAATGAAATTGGCCGAAACAATGTTTGTGTAACCTATTTCATTGGTTTTTTTGCTAAAACCCAATGAAATAGGTTACACAAACATTGTTTCGGCCAATTTCATTGGTCAGATAATTAGTGTTATTGTTTAAAATTTTGCTTAATTGACAATAACTTGGGATCCTGTGATTGGATTTTAATGATTTTGGTCTTGTTAGAATCCCTTCAATGAGCTGAACATTTTGGCAGTAAAATTATCCAAAACAGGCTACTAAATAAAAAGTTATTGCCAATTCTATAAATCAGCCCATATGGTCAAGAACAGTATTCCACAAATCTTGCATATTGTTATTTTGATAATTTAGTTGCTTCTAGAATTGAAATTGTAAAGTAGTAATAGAAAGAGTTGAAGAAGATATAGAAGGAGAAGAAATAAAGAAGAAATAGAAGAAGAAGATAGTGATGACAAAGCTAATAGTTCTCTTGTTTGTGCAAAAAAATAATCTGGTTCTCCAAATATTGCAATTTGAAGTAAAAATGTACTCATATATTTAATAATTCCTTCTAAATTGGAAAGATAGTCTTGTCATCATTGCCAAATTGTGATAAAATTTACTAAAAACTATCAAGCTTTAGCAACTTTAAAGTCATGAATGTTGAGTAGACTATCTTTTATTTAAAGAGAATAATAAAAAGAAAGAAAAATAAACAATTTGTATAATAGAATTTAAATTTAATAGCCTTTAAAGTACTATCTCTTTAACTGTTTTCTAGACAAATTTGCCTAGAATATTGAAAAGTATTTACAATTTTTTAAATAAAATTAAAAATTATTAATGATATGGGGTATACTTTATATATACAATAGTATATTTAAAACATAT